CCCCCCCCCCCCCCCCCCCCCCCCCCCCCCCATCCCAAATGATGAAACCGTAAAGTAAAGAAGATGATTTGTCATCTTTTGATGACATTCCAATGGATGTCCGAAATCGACGTTCCCAGCGGAGATCGGATCTTCGACAGGAGTCCGATTCCCTCGTTCCCAGACTACCTATCCTTCCGCCACTTTCCCACCGTAGCTGAGATCTTCGATGGTCAAATTCCTTCCTTGATTCCCATGGAGAACATTCTCAATCCCCCTTGTCGGAGAGTGCGACTCATGATATTACTTGCAGGAACAGCGGTATATAAGCTCGAGGATCCGATGTTCGGGGTCCGCATTCGTCTGCTTTTGACAGTACCGGCTGACACACTTCGCTTCGTCTGTGATCTACTTAATCTCCCTCTTACGCTCGTGCGCCTGTAACTAGTATCGTGTGTAATAAAACTTGTCCTAATTTAGTCTGGCCCGACACATTCCAGGGGTATTTCGATCTAGTGACATACGCGGTACCTTGATTCAGTAAACACACTTTTTCTTAAGAAATAAATGTACATGGTGAAAATTTGGGAAAATTAGTTAATAGGTTACTGTCGATATGACTGTATAATCGTCGAAACTAACACATGCGAAGAAGCCGCCCAGTGCTAATGTAGAAAACGCAGATACGGACCGAAACATTTCTTGCCATTAAAATAATCCCATTGAATTAATTTTATTGAAATAATTTTAAAAAAATAATTTCATTAATTTTGTTAATTCTGTAATTCTCACTACCACCTATTTTCCTTTTTGATTCTTCTCATTTCATCCGTTGTTGATATATCTTTCAATGGAAATATCTGAAGATGCAAGTGGATTTAAACAGTTTTTCATTCCGATTTTTTAACATTTCAACAATAAAAATCGCTTTTTTTTTAAAAGAAGGAGCAAAAATTTCCTGCAATTCGAGCAATTCTAAAAAAAAAACCAAAAAATGGTAACCTGTGAATAGAAATCAATTGAGCACAGTCGAGGGCCCTGTAAAATGATCATGAAGCGCTTTTGGTACAAATCCGACGAGTACATATCGAATGTAAGATAATTAATGTCACTGAACAGCTTGATATGTTCAAGGCCATACTGCGTGTTACTCGGCTGCAATTCGCGCACTGAAAATACTTTTTAATCAAAAAAAAAAAAAAAACAAGCACAAAGATGCAACTCTATAATTCCACCTATTTCCCTCCTCCCACTAGTCCTTAACACTTCGACCTACTTTCCTCCACTCACTAATTTCTAACAGTTCCAGCAAATTCTAAATAATTCCATATTACCTACCTTCTCACTCTCGAACTACCTTGCCCCCCTTTTCCCTCCATTAATTTTCCCTATATAAACCCCTTCCTAAAACCGAGGCTCTCACAGTTTTGGGAATCAACAAGCGCCATTCATCCGCTTCATTCTGCCACTACTAATGCTACTAGCGTCTCGCCTCATCACCACCATCAGCGTCCTCCTTCTGCCCTGATGGGATCCAGGCCTTCTGAAGGAAAAAGCTTCCTTGGGTCTCCGATCGACTCGATAGGCTCGCAGTGCAAGTGCTGGATAGCGGGAAAGTTCCGGGTTCCTGGTTTTGTAAGGGCCGGACGGTGTTGCTCTATAAGGCTGGCGATAAAGCTGAGCCATCTAATTACCGGCCCATAACCTGCCTCAACACGTGCCATAAGCTAGTTGGCAGTGTTGTGAATAAAGCTCTCATGGATCAAGGTGTCCAGAAGAGCAGCTTGTGCGGCGCCCCGGCTCGTCGTTTTACGCGTCGTTTCACCCGTCGTTTTTATTTGAAGTAAAGTTTTTGTTGGAAGAATAAAGTGCTGGTATTCTTCTCTGTCTTCCGCTGCTGTAGTCAAGGACCAGGTGAGGACCTAACAAAGACAGTACTATAAAAGCAAATCCGCAGAAATTATGGGGCCGCGTTTTGTCCGGTTAAGCATGGCTTGTCTGAAACCCTGCATATTTTTGCTGAAACTTCTCAGCAATGAAAATAAACGCTAAAAAGTTATGGCTTGCTGAGGGCTACAAGCACAATGCGCGATTTTTTGCTAATTTTCACCAAACTCTCCGGTAAGACGACCATGCAAACTGCTTATATACAATGTGAATTTACCGCCCACCTTTTTTTGCCCTCAAAATTACCATAAAAGTTGAATTTTCCTCCCAATTATTCCCTAATCTTCATTCTGACAATATTATCTCCAGAAGTTTCGATTGTGTTTCTCTTTCCACGGTGGGCCAACAATGCCAAACAAACTGCGTATGTTAA